CAAGAAACTATTGAAAAAGTGGTAATGTCAAGCATTGTCCAATGTACAAATAAAAAGCGATAATTTTATCTTTGTTTTCATGACATAAACGTTCTTCCCAAATCCAGTCCTCATAATCGAGTACCATTTGGTTGCACATCATTCTGCTTTAACCTGAAAAGGTATAAAACAACGCTGCTCTCTAGCCTCAACTCACTGACACAGATGCGTCTTTTCAACTTTAGTTCCTTTGAAATTTAATTATTATTAATTACAGTTACTAGTCCTATCAGGCCTGTTTTAAGAATGACCACCTTGGTGGGATTGGTTTGATTTGAATTGGAAAAAGGAGACTACTTATAACTACTGTGGCGTGTGATATTGATGAAACACAATTTAGTTGTGATGTTAGACTTGTTGTTGTTGTTGTTGTTGTTGTTGTTGTTGTTGTTGTTGTTGTTGTTGTTGTTGTTGTTGTTGTTGTTGTTGTTGTTGTTGTTGTTGTTGTTGTTGTTGTTGTTGTTGCTGCTGCTGCTGTTGTTGTATCCTTTCCGATAGGCCTTGCTTCACTTGGTTTTGTTTAACACGGATTTTGTTTTTCGTTTGCACTTGAAAACACACTGCTGCTACTGACTTTCCGTTGCCTCACTTTTTTGCACTTTTCAAACCCCCTTCAATCGGTTTCCTTTAGCCCGGTTTCTTCCAGGGTTCTGCAACTTTTCACTGCACTTTTCACGCGATAACTTGCGTTTGGACTTCAACTGTGAGTGAGATAGATGATCGGAGAGGGCGTTTCGGGTCCGGGTCTTTACGATCAACCGAATACATATACCGTCAGCAAGGTATTGCACAACTTTCTTTAACTGCTGCCACCAAATTGTGGCGTGTGATATTGATGAAACACAATTTAGTTGTGATGTAAGACCTGGAGCCTACGCTCCTTTTTATTTTTATATGATTCTTAAATCTACCTGTCACTAATTATCTATCCCGTCGCTTTTCAATTAACGGGAATCGAATATTCCTGCCGGCGTTTATTGCACTTAGTGCCACCGAAAACTTGTTGCTCACGATACGATTGCATTACAACAAGTTTTCTTTTATGACCTTTCACTTATTACCATTCTAGTTTATTTGCCTGAAGGGCCTAACGATCGGAACTAATTTTAGTTAAGAAGGAACAGAGTAAAGAGAAGGGACAGACATGTGGCGACGTTTTGGCCACACTACTATTTACAACTACAACTAACCTACAACTACTATATACACCTAATCTACTATACATAAATTGCTTATCAAAGCATGTTCTGATAAATTAAATTTGTGTGAAAATTTAGTCTCAATTTCGTTAATTCTGGAATCTATTCTGAGCGATTTGGATTTTGTTCCTGTGAGTCTGTCCACATGATTCCCACACCAGAGCTGCGTAGAGGATCGCAGGTGCTATGATTTGTTTGTAGACAGCCAGTTTGTTCACCCTTGAGAGGCGGGATCTGCGGCAAATCAGCGGATACAGACACCTAACCAAGGCGGAACACTTTACTGCGGTTTTCTCCACATGCGAGTGGATTAGGAGCTTTTCGTCAAACAACATCCCGAGATAGGTTACTTCGGTGGACCACTCAACCCTTGTGCCATCCATGATTACTGTACAATATGGAGCCGGTTTCAGTTTGGGCGATTGCCGATGGAGGAACATGATCGCTTGTGTTTTGAAGGGATTGATTTTAATTTTCCACGTGGTGGCATAATCAGTAAAGGCGTCAAGGCATCGTAGGATCTTGTTTGTTATTTCACGAGGCATCCTACCCTTGACGGTTATTGCGGTATCATCTGCGAACAGGAAGAACACGCAACCGTCTCCGAGGGGAGGAATGTCGGAAGTGTAGATGCTGTAAAGCAAAGGGCCCAACAGACTGCCTTGCGGAACTTCTGCTGGGATGGAGAACGTGTTTGAAAGGCAGCCATTCAACGATACCTTAAACGACCTTTACTGAAGGTAGTAACGGGTGATTTTAACAATATGCAAAGGAAAGTTGAAGTTACAAAGCTTGTATACAAGCCCATTGTGCCAGATATTGTCAAACGCTTTCTCAACGTCTAATACAGCCTTGTTACTTCGGATGTTATTCATCACCCGTACTAGCTGATGATTTGTGGAATGCCCATTCCTGAACCCGAACTGTTCCAGTAGGAGAATATTGTACTCTTCGACAAACTTGAGCCAACGATTGAGAATGAGTTTCTCGAACAATTTGCTCAGCGCTGAAAGGAGGCTGATTGATCTGTAGCTTAAAGGCAATGTTGGATCCTTACCGGGTTTGCGGATCGGTATGATTTTTGCTACTTTCCAGATGCTTGGAAAGTAGTGCAGTTCCAAGCATCTGTTGAAGATAGCGGTTAGAAGAGACTGCCTTTTCATGCTGAGTCTCTTCAAAATCAAGTTGAATATATCGTCAAACCCAGGAGCCCTCATGTTCTTGGTGCATTTCAGCGCTGAGCAAATCTGTTGTACTGTAATCATATCCGCCTGAGGCACGACACAAGGGGAGGCATCTAGGTTTTAAACGCATTGCGCAACCTGATCTTCGAGCGGACTTTGGATAGTCGAGTCAAGCAAATGCGATGAAGCGACATGCTCGCCGATCGCATTTGCTTTCTCCTGTGGGGTGATAATGGGCTGATCGTCATCATTTTCCCACACAGGAACTCGTTCGACGCACGCCTCGTCAGCCACGGTTATGGCTTGGTGGAGCCCCTCCAACGCTCGGTCGATGGCCTTCACGGAGTTAAGCGGCGGGTTGTCGATGATGTGCCTGTTATTAATAACTGGGCCCAGTTTACGCGATGATAGTCCTTGCGCAGGCTTGAAGCAGAAGCCACGTTGCAGTCCAGTTCAGCCACCACCGGTTGGTGGTCGGAGCTGAGTTCGTTCAAGGCTACCGGGTTGGACAAGCTGGTATTTGATAGGAACAGGTCTAGCGTCGATGGGTTGCCCGCCGGTGAGATAAATGTTGGCTCATCCGAAAACCAAACGGAGTACAGCCCATGCTGTGAGTGGTCGAACAGAAGACGACTGTTCTGGTTCTGCCTGTAGTTCCACCAGGCCTCATAACCGAGCGTTTAGATCTCCTCCTACTACGAAGCGGGAACCGTTACGGGTGATGGTGGACAGGTCCTTCTTGAATTTAACCGCTAGTCCGCTGCTGGCGGCACACTGTCGAGAGCAGTAGACGGCGATGAACTGGACGTAACCAGTCGACGAATCCACCTCCGCACCAAAGGCCTCGATGATAGAGGTGCGGATATGGGACAGAGTGTGGTATTTTATTCCTTTCTTGATGACGACCGCAACACCCCCTCCCTTGCAATGTGGACGATGGATGGTTCTTCCAGCAGCTGGTGCAATTCGTGGTTCATTCGCCTCCTCGACGTTCCGTCATCCATCTGCACTGCACTCATGCATACTTACTCTGATTTTGATTTTCCTCCAGATATAACTCATTAAAGGAATCCTCAGACACTTTGCCGTATGCTTCTTCGGGCACTTCTATTTTTCATCCAAAAATATTCCTTCTGCCAAAGAAAATCAAATCAAAACAAACAACAAAACAGCTTTTTTACTATGTTCAAAATTCGAACTTACTCCGAGTAAAGTACAACTTTATTCATATGAATTTGAGCAAATGCTCAGAGAGATAACTTTACTCAAACTGGTTTGCTCATGAGTAATGACTTGCTTTTATTCATATGACCTAAGGTCTCAGTCTTAGTAACCCATGAGTTTGGCAACCCTGCACTTATGACGTTTGAGATTGTGTGTTTACATTTTCAAGTCAAGGACGGGAAAAAAGGTGGGAAACTTAATTCCAAGATAATATTCAACGAGCTGGTTGCCAGCCATCCGCTTAACGGAGGTGGCACTCGAAGCTTAGTCTCTCCGCCAAAATGATGGCACAAGCTGTCCATCCAGAAGATGACAGTTCTGTACCGTTGCGTCATTCTAACAGATGTTTGCCGAAATCAAGTACCCAACCGGCCAGTGGAAGAAGAATCTTGTCAACATTATCATCATGCTACTCGGGCAATGCTACAACCTAAAAAACAGTAAGAACTCAACTTAAAATACCCACCGGCGGTAGTAGTAAATAACAGAAATTGACCTCCAGTACAAGTCAGTTGCAGCAGTCGTGATTAGGTACTAAATTCGTCTACTGGCCCCCCTTTTATGGGGGGGGGGATGTCAAACTACTTCGTCCACGGTCTATCCAAATGCCGGTCCAGGATCTCGCTACTGTTTGCAGTTGTTTGATAACTACACAGTTAAATTTTTTTTTGTAAATTTACATGTTTTTTAACGCACACTTATGAACCGTGTTTATTCCTATAAATTTACATGCCATTTTAACTTTACATTTGCCTTAAAATTAATCTAAATGTAAATTTAAAGTTAGATTTAAGATTAAATTTTATCCGATTTAAATTTACACATGAGCCTAAATTTACGCCATGCTTGAATTTTCAATGCGGTTTTATTTTTCAATTACAAAGCGTGTAAAAACTTTATTGAATATTTATTTATTTATTAATGTTCTTAAAATAACCTCCCCCAAAATGATTTATTTCGGAATGCTTCTTAAGAAAACAAGAACAATTTTGGAATTATGTTTTTATTACTTATTATATTTATTTTGCTCCTAAGAACTTATTTTAACTAAAAAAAAACTGATGTAGCAAAAAAAACAAGCATCTACAGAATCAGTCATCAAATCATTATTATAAAATATTTGACGGTTCAGCTTGTGGAATTCGATGATTAGACAATGCAGTTATGACCTTTTTCACGACACGTTGTCGTTGGCCAACTCGAACGGCATTCGATTTTGATCCGGAGAGCGTAATAATTTTCAAAAAGTACTCCTGAATAAGCTCGAGGAATTTTGAAACACATTTCATATACATGAAATTGTGAACAAAGTGTACAGTCATGACGTCTTGCAAAGCTGTGACAATGTCCGTAGTACCTTTGGATAGCCTCGTCCGTTCTGCAAACACGTAATACATACTTTTGCCACCGTCAATATCTGTAAAAATAAGAAACAATGTTATGTCACTCTCTGAGTATATCCTAAATGCTAACGCATGTTATAAATATCGATTTACAAAACTGAAAAGCCGACGCTCAACTTTTGGTTTATCGAACAATATCTCTGGAGGTAAGTGTTTTTATAGCCGTATAAGCATTTCCATGAGCGAAGACCATTGAGAGATTAACTTTTATCCGGCCTAAAAGTCGATCAATCAAAATTATAAATTGAATAGCTTTTATTATTTTTCCAACATATTGGTTGAATTGTCTTTTACTTTTGATTCATGCATCGTTGAACGTCACATGATTTCAGAAATATTCCAGGATTCCTTGGCGGTACCAACGTGAAATACGCTATTTCACGTTGGTACCCCAAGCAATTTTTGAATAGCTCGTGATCCATGTGTCCTATTTCGAGTCTTAATGCATGAATCACAATAAGAAGACTTTTTTGATACCGACTGAATATTTGTTGGGTGAAAAAATAGTAAAGTTATTCAATTTTTAATTTTGATGAAGGTTAGAATTTGACTTGATTTAAAATGACAACTTTAAGCGGCAGGAATGGAGCACTTATAATAAGGTGAACCCACAGATTGATCCAAACAGGACACTTATCAAAAGGTAGCTTTTCGACTACTGCATTTGTAAAGACCTGATTGACAGATTCTCTACGTTGATTATCTTTTTGCATCCCCACGGCTTTGAAAAGGCATTTCCAGCTATTTTTAATACACAGTTCGACTAAAGAAGCTATTGTCTATTATTTAATACGACAAACTCGTCAGGAAACGGTTTTGTAGTTAAATAGTTAACAAAATAGAAAGACGATGAAAATAATCGATCAATGTTACTTAGGACCTTGATATAGTGGGGTCAGATAGAAAACGATGCAAGTAACAATCAAAATAAAATTAAAATATGACTATTACAGTGCCTTCCCGTTTTTGGCAACAAATGATTTTAGTCTTTTTTCTCTTCTAGAAAAACCATCTAACAATTTGTTAAATTTCTGACTTCATTGAACCATTATTTGGAGATCCTTGATACTTTGTATTTCATGAAAAATTATCTTAATAGTACAAGAACAATTTTGAGGAAAGAAATAGCTGATGAGGTCGTGTTGCCAAAAACGGGACGGCACTGTATAAGACAATAATCAAGTATCGATTATTACCAGTTTCTCATGTCTGTCTGCATTGTCACTAGTCCCCATTTCCTTCCAACCCCTTCAATTAATACAGTCGTGCAATTTGCATGCCTCAATATTAAGATAATTGAGGGGGTTAGAAGGAAAGGGGTGTAAGTGACTTTGATCGATTCTCTTCATCGACTTTCTCTTTTGATAACCACGGATTTAAAAAAAGGATTTCACGTTATTTCTGCCACATAGCTTGATATAGGAGGTTCTCATCTAGCATCCATAACGAAAACGCATCAAGGATTGTGCTTGCAGCTCAGTTATTAATGAAAGAAAAAGTCGATGAACATAATTGATCAAATACACTTACACGTGTTCACTGTATCGGGAACCGGAACCTTGACATCCGGCTTGGAAAACGGACGCGCTAATGGACTGCACTATTGTTGTCCTTATTGTAGCCAAAAATACTTGGAATGGTTTCCAATGAGATTGTTTTAATAAACCATGCAAAAGGCTTCAAACGATGCTAACTGCAGTTGACACTTACCTATTGCAACTAATACCGGCCCAGGACCATCCAAAACGACATCTTTGATACGAGTTCCAATCTGTAAAAGGGAAATCCATATTATTGAAAAGTTATCGCAAAAATTTATATAATTTACCTCCTTTTTAATCACAAGCTGCTCAATCTGCTCCCCAACAAGCGAACAAAGAAATTCAAACAGCTCAATATCGTCCTTGATTTGTATGCGTTTACGGAGAGTTAAAGAGTAATCGATTATTTTTTCCCGTTTGGAAGCAACATAGTTTCGTAGGCAACTAACGTCTACACCTGTCGCTCTCTGGAAATGGAAGTTCAGTAGCTTACGTCGCCTCAGTACTGGTAATTGGGTAACGATAGAGTTCAATTCGCCTTGCTCATCCAACATGTGTCTCACAAATGATTGCGATTGTTCCAAAACTTCATCTGTTAACAGATCAGGCTCGTCCCTCAAAAGCTTCGAGTACAGTTCCTTGGTGCACTCCTTAGAGCTCTTTTCCCAATATTTTTTATCAGTTCCTGCACGAATATTCCGCTTCTTCTTCAGAGGCAAAGGTGTCTTTGACGTTTCTTCATCGTTAAATCGGTTGAGATAATTGTTCCTGTTAATCATTTTATACTTTAATTCGATGTACCCTTGGCCGCCTCCATATCCATCGTCGTCACAAAAGTCGAGACAAGTATATTTATGCAAAATTTGTTTCGATACGTTCGCCATGGTTTCGGCACGGATATCAGTATCTATCAGTCTCAGTTGATTTACAACTTCGTTTAAAAAACTACTCAGATCTTGTTTTGAAAACCGAAGTGACTGTGGCACTGGCTTTCCTGTGTTCGTATTTTTAAATTGTTGCAAATTTTGCAGTTTTATCAACAGAATATCACTTATCTTGTCCCAGTTTATGACGAACGATCTAAACTTCAATTCAGTTGCGGCATGCTTCTTCGTATTCCTCTGAAGTTTCACTCCACTGCTGTCGTGTTTCCTTTTGCGTGATTTGTTTGGTGATTGATTTTCATGATCTGAATTAGCTTCAGACTCCGACTGTTCATCGACTGCTTCCGATATCTCAGCCTGAGGAACATCGGTTCCCTCAGCTATGGTTGATGTGGCCACATACGATTCTCTTTGCATATTACTCAATTCTGTTGTTTGCTTCTCGTTTGTCATGACGGACTGTCGTTCGAAATCTACAATTTCACTCCCAGGAGAAGTTATGCTGATCAACGTATTAATTATTGTGTTCTGCTCCGAGATACTTCGCTCATCTTCCTCGATATTATTTAGCAAATCCATGGCAATAAAATCGGGGGCTGCGATTACAGAGGTCGGTACCGATTGTTCAGGAGTATTCGATACAAAGGAAATAGTTGTCGGAGCCACCTTTTGATCATATGTTTGCCGTTCGTCATTTGAATAAGGAATCGAGTTCAAGGAAGTGTCACCTATTTAGCAAATGAAAAAGAAAAAACTTAATAACATTCAAAACATTAAAAAAAAAACATATATATATAGGCTAAGTATGACGTACAGTTTTGTCTACACGCTAAGATCAGATAACCCAAATGTAGGTTTACTTTACCCAAATCGGGCGTAAACTGCACAAACTCAGATATGGGTAAATTTTTAACCCAAATATGGATAAATTTAGGTCAAGTTTGCATAAAAATAAATCATTTATGGATCATAAGAACCCATATTTGGATTTAAAAAATTACCCATCTCTTTGTACCGTCTGGGTAAACTGATCTTAGCGTGAATATATATTTTCGCTAAAGCACAAAATCGAAGTTCGCTAGTATGGACCTGGGAGGGAGACACAGACTCGAAACATGTTAATGTCAAAACGAACCAAATGCAAGCTGTCACGAACTGTCACCATGAACCTTTACCTTTCTTAGAGTCGGACAAGAATACATAAACCGGTATTGACATTTAGTCACATATAGACATATAGTAACGTGCATCAAATCTTATAAAATTTTGAAAGCTGATTGACCATATATGCAATGGTTATTTGTATAGTTTTGAGCTTGATTGGCTGAGGTTGTTTGAAGTTTGACTGGTTTTAGTAAAACACTTCCCATTCATCCTCCATTTTCAAATTGTTATTTCTTGAAGAAATATGAACGAAATGAAATTCTATTATTTTATATTTTTAGTTGAAACATTACCATACAAGTTGGTAAAAAAGTAGTTAAAATTTATTCACAAGGAAAAAACTTAAAAATTTCAAAGGAAGTTTTCAACTTTATTCAGTGAATAAAACCAAATGTATACTCGAATGTATATGAAAAGATCAAGTTTTTGTCAAAATCTTTGGTGGCATAATGAAATGCAAAACAAGACGAAACAGACTGAATCAAGGAAAGTAGAGAGGGAGGTAATACAATCAGAAATTATGCATTCTGCCATAATGGCTACACGCTAAGATGCACATCCCGGATAAAACATGTGATACAATTTATGGTTAAAATTATAACCGTTTTATAAACGTTATGGTTAACAATAAATTTAAATGTACATTTACAGTAACGTGAAACTTTTGAAAACTTCGCATTTTGTTACAAAAAGATGTTATATCTTTTCATTTTATAGTCATATGCAACGAGTACACAGAGTTTTTTGAAGCGAATAAAAGTTTAACTCATACCATAAATGTACAATAGGTTTTATGGCAATACAATACAATTTAAAGTAAAACAAAATTAAAACAATATAAAATATATCAATAGAGAAACAATAAAAACATTACAACATAGTACAGCACTAATACAAAAACAATAAACACTTGAAAACTATTGATTTTCAAGTCTTAATGCATGTCTGCGGGTAGATATCATCACTACACGTCTAAGCCGTCATCTACTAGTAAGTACAGGTGGAGTAGTGGTAGAGGACTCAAAATACAAAAATAAAATGGAATTTAAAGTTCCTTGGTTCGAGTCCCAATATGCCAAATTTATTTTAAAAAAATGGTAATGACCGCTGTAAGAAAATTTACTACCAGCTCACACTACGTGATCGGTATGCTGCAGAAATTGACAAAAAAATCGCTTCTGGATTCTTCGAAAAAGCAGACTATTCCGAGTGGTCATCGCCGACCCACATCGTCGTTAAGAAGAACCAACATACGGATCACTGGGAACTATAAACCCACTGTCAACCCGAGGATGATAGTGAATGAGCATCCGATTCCTAGAATTGACACGATTATCAACAGAATGAAAGGAGCTACACTTTTTTGTCATCTGGATGTCACCGACGCTTATACGCGCCTTCCAATCGATGAATAGTATAGTCATATGCTAATGCTTGACACGCCGACACATGGACTCATACGTTCTTCCCGAGCAGTTTATGGAGCTGCAATATTCCTGCAATTTGGCAGTGGCGCATGGAAACAGTACTCCAAGCCTTGGACAACGTCGTCGTCAGCTTCTACGATGATATAATTGTTTTCGCAAACGATTTCGACAATCCCATGCAATCTCACGGTCACTGTGGACACATTGAGGCTAAATGGACTGCGGCTCAACCGATCGGCGTGCGTCTTCGCCATAGCATCTCTGGAATGTCTGGATGATAAAATCGATCGTCCCGGACTGCACAAATCGGATAAGCACATCGAAGCCATCAGGGATGTACCACGACCGGCAAATCCAGAGGAATTACAACTTTTCTTGGGTGAGACTACCTATTTATTATATTGCATTTATCCTAAATCTTTCTTCTAGAGCTAGAAGTTTGCGTGATATACTAGATATAGGGGATATGTTCAAATGGACATCTGAAGCTGACAAGCCGTACAGAGACTTGAAAGATGTTCTAGTCTCACCACAAGTTCTGATGCAGTATGACCCAACATTACCACTAATTCTGGCAACGGATGCTAGCAAAACTTGTCTAGGTGCGGTGTTATCACACCGACTGAGCAACGGAATGGAACGGCCGATAGCATATGCGAGCAGCACGATGTCCACCTCAGAGTAACGATACCCTCAGATCGATAACGAAGCTCTCGCTAACGCATTGGCAGTGAAGAAGTTTTTCCATTATCAGTACGCCCGAAAATTTACCCTGGTAACGAACCATAAGCCGTTCTCGCAAATTTTGCATCCATAGAAATCCCTTCCAACACTTTTCATCAGTCGGATGGCGAATTACGCTGATTATCTGGCACATTTGAACATCGATATTGTTTACAACCCAACCGACCAGAACACGAACGCTGATTACAGTTCCCGAATATCCAGCACATCAATGCAATCCGGAGTTAACAGCCTGTCTGTCCACGGGGGAGGAAATGTTGAGGACGAATTCGACCAGCTTGCTCTACATGGAATACAGCAACTACCAGTGCGAGCTGACCACATAGCACGGGAGACACGGAAAGATTCTTATCTTGGACAAATTGTGCAAGTCAGGTCATAACCTTGCGAAATCAGAATACAAGGCTCCAGAAGTGAAATACACACTAGCAGCAAACTGTTTACTGTTCGAGGACAGAGTAGTCTCTGTCTCATCGGTTCTCCAACAAGTGATTTTGAACGATCTACACGTAGCACCCCTGGGTGTCGTTAAAATGAAAGGTCTGGCATGATCCTTCGTTTACTGGCCAGGTATTGATTCAGATATCGAACGAACAGCAAGTTCGTGTGTGGAGTTTGCTCGCCACGCACCTGTACCACCAAGATTCAGCCGCCATCAAGGGGAGTATCCAAACGGTCCATGGGAGCGTGTACATATCGATTACGCGGGCCCAGTGGCGGACACAATGCTGCTAATAATTGTTGATGCCAATGGCAAATGGGTTGAATTTAAATTCATCACTTCGACAACAGCAGCCGCCACCATCAACTTGCTCGACAATTTGTTTTCTGCATATTCTGCACCAATCACATTGATTTCGGACAACGGTCCGCAGTTTACGGCTGCGGAATTTCTTCAGAAGAGTGGAGTGAAGTTCCACAAACTATCGACAAACTAAGCAGGCTCTCAAGGCAATGAGCACAAGGAAAAATTCCTTGAAGGCGGACATCAACGAGTTTCTTCACCAATACCGAAAAGCACCACACAGCGAAACCGGGGAATGTCCATCGAAGCTTTTCTTGGACCGAAGTATCCGGACACGATTAGATCTCGTCAGACCGCAGGAAATCAGCTGCAGAATTGACGAAAAACAACTAGCAGCATTCGATTCGTCGTTCCGTGTATTCAGCCTGGGAATGTTCGAATGGACAATTGGATTCCAGGAGTTATTACTGCACGTTTGGGAGATCTGCACTACGAAATTGATTACAACGAGAAAACATCAAACGTCATGTCGATCAAATTCAACAACACAACGGTAACCAAGGCAACTAGTCCACACTATAGAGACTCATAGTAATAGACCCGACAACGTGAGTTGACGTATCAAAACGAACCGTCGAATCGGTCGAATCGGTCAAATCGTACACGGCTAATCATACCTACTCAGCGACTAAGATTAATTGACTCAGAGAATTTTCTTTCCAAACGAAATTTACTCAGATTTGGAATAAAATGCAGTTACTCACAAGCTATAAGTAAATGCAGTTTATTCCAAATCTAAGTAAATTTAGTATAGAAAGAAAATTCTCTGAGTCAATTAATCTCAGTCGCTGAGTTGGTATGATTGGCCGTGCATACATATATGGAATCCATATATGGAAAATCTCGATTAACATTTGAAAACGGCACATAAACATTTGTAAACAAACTTTTGTGGGCCCTTTACTCGCCACCCGAAGTACGCCCACGCAACCAAAAGCACTATGGGAAATTTTCACCTTGCTGATGATTCTGTTGGTTTGCGCGGCCGTACTTCGGGTGGCAAGTAAAGGGCTCACAAAAGTTTGTTTACAAATGTTTATGTGCCGTTTTCAAATGTTAGGCCTGATATTTTGCGATATTTACTAACACAAACAAAGAGCACTCTAGGTTGAACCTGAAGTATATAGTCATTGAGTGTTTGTTTACTTTCTGGGTTTTCACAGCACAAGAAGAATTTTATCTGTATGATAGCATCACAATACTATAATTTCATTGAAGTGTACTAGGTGCAAGTAAGTAAAGTAGAATAAATAAAGTGTTACGTACCGGCAACCTGCTCTGGCGAACTGATGATCTGCATTTGCTGAGGATTCCACGATTCGTTCATTCCGAGAAGCATTAATAAATTGGAATGCAACACAGATAGTGCTAAGTCAGACGTGATACGGCATCCTTCAACTTCGGTGTATACGCTGACTACATCGTTTTGCAAAGCAATTGAGCCTAGATATAAAGACGAAGGAAAATAAAAGTATTGTTACTAACAGATTCTACATTTTTTTTCTTTAAGATATTTACCTTGTTCAAGTAAACTGTCGAGTGTCGGAAAAGCAGCAATGACCAAACGAGTTGTTCGTGCAGCATCGCAGACTTTGAAGATCAGAAGTTTATCCATGTCGCTGTGGTAGATGTTTGGTTGCAGTTATGCTATAGGTATGGTGTGTTTTATAAACAAATAGTGTTTGTTGTTTTCATGAAAGACCGTAAGAGGAGTTGGATCGACGATATCATTGATGTTTTTTGCAATCGTCTCTTCCACCGACAAATGCATTGAAATTTCCATGATTCCCTTTTCCGGCAAACGCTTTACCGTTTGTTTGTTTCCAAAAAACCAAATCTGACCCTCAACCTTGTTGTACAAAATTAGCTTTATATGAAGTACATAAAAGCATTCACCGAAATCGTCATGATGTAAAAACAGATAAGTGCCTCGTGAATAATTATGTCCACAGTACACCGCGTCTTCGGCGTATACGAACTGGTCACCTATCAGTGCAAAATTATGTAAATGAAGCTGTACATCTTGGGGAAGATACTCATAGCTTTCCACGAAGCTATTAACCAAAAACTTCAACTCAAATCTGTTTGTTTGTCCATGTAGAAGTGCTTGGTAGTACTGGTGCTGCTCACTACAGAATTTCAGTACATTTTTAAAATTTAGTGTGCTACGCAACGCCCGCTTGAAAAAGCAATGCTTTCTCTCACAAAACAGTGTACAATAGGACATAAGAGGACCCAGCGATCGAATCAACCAAGGATAGTGTGTCGTGAAATGGTGCTTTGGCCGAACAGGAGTATCAAACTGTGTATTTCTCAGCTCTAAGTATTCCGTTATAAAGGAGTGTAACAGGAAAGTCTGGTCTATAGACACTAAAGGTGATGTGACAATATCCGTAATATTTTTAATCAAGATAAGCATCTTTAGCATTGGATAATCATGGTCAACTGATTTGTTAAGAAATATAAAAGGAACTATTTGTACAACATGCCAAATATCGCAGGCTTTTGCCTTAAAATTTTTGGCTTTTCTGGAAAAATCGATGGATATTTTTGTATTTAATTTTAGCCTTGCAGCAACATCGTTAATTCGGCCTTGGAGGAAATGTGCCGAGATATTTTTCTCCTTAGCCAGACGTTTTAGTATGAGGAACAAGTCGTAGTTAACCCAACCTTCAAATAAGTCATGCGCAACGCAGGGAGGTGCTCCAAAGTCAAAAAATTTGAAGTGTTTCAATTCATCAAAAATGCTATTCACTTTGACACCTCGATATGGAACACTGGATGGATTATTTTCGATCATTTTAAGATCTATCAGATGAGTCTGGGGTGTCCTAAATTCAGCTTCTTGGACCCAATCGCTTTTGAACTCATTCAGCTCCACGTAGCAACTTCTACAGAAATAGGAACTACTGGAAAAAATTTCTACAAGACCAGCAAGCTGGTGAGCGCCAAGGTTATCATTCAAAGTGGTAAAAATTGACCCATAAACCCTCTCTGCAAAACCCCCTCCGTGTACAACGATGCCTTCATCTTCCAAGACTTTTATATCCTCAATCAATCTTCGAAAAACTCGGTTTCCTCCAAAACAAGAAAAGTCTTTGGTTTTGCACAACAGAAGAAGTTGGACGTTTTCGGTGAGGCAACGCAGATGTGGGTCCAAGTTACCCAGCACCATGTAAACACACAATAACTTGTGACGAGATGTAGCGTTGCCAAGGGCATTGACTACCATTTCAGCTGCGTCCTGGTAGATAAAAATGTTTAAAGTTTTATGATTGAAAAATGAACTTTTTTTAAACTTTAAACCATCGTCGTAGTCTTGTAGATTACCCTGAATTTTAGGTTTTTGGCGAAACACTGCTTCGTACGTCTTCTTATCGTCCAACATTGTACACAGAGTTTCTAAGATTGGTACATAGAAATAAAAACTTTCCTTGTGCTCTTGATCTCTTTGGAGTGACACCTGAATCGGAGGAACGAATTTGTAGTTGTCACGAAAGAACTTTTTCCGCATGTACGATGACCGGAAAACACCTTTGGCACCAAACATGTATTTAAAAAGATTTGTTTCGCATGATTGTTGGTTTTCAAAACAAACTGAAACGTTGACGGTTACATCAGAGCAGTTTTTGTGGAAATCAGCTTGCAAAATGGCAGCTTCTCCTAAAGCGGAAACGATTTCCTGAATAGCTGTATCTGTAACATGGTTTTTCGACAACAATTTCAGGAAAAGAGATCCAAATAAAGAAACGATTTTGCTCGAAGGATCATTGTTCTCAATTATTCCAACACTCTCCGCCATTTCTTCCCCGTTACTTCCGGAATCTATCACTACAGGGTCTTCCCCACATAAAAAAGGCTCTTGAAACTTGGAACTTTTGCTTTTATCAATTCCTCTCGAATTTCCATTCCGGTGGAAATACATTTTGTGGATTTTGAGGCTGTTGACGGTGAAAAAAGGCTTTTCTTTTCGGCATCCGAAGGGACAAAAAACGGGTTGCCCTGCTGACAAATGCTGATTCAAGTGCTTCATCATTATTTTGAAGTCAGCTTCAATAAAACCACATGAATTGACGGAGCATTCGAACAGCTTCTGTATCGGATTTCTCATCCGAAAATGGCGGTGTCGCAAATGATTTTTGTACGCGCGAAACGATTTAAAACTAATTCCACATAAAAAAGCACACTCTGTAATTGTCCACTGTTTGTGGACGCGCAAGTGACGGATTAAATAATCAATATCAGAAATCTGCAACTCACAAAAATTACACTTGATCGCGGACATTTTTTTCACTACATGACGCGACGCGCGTTTGAAGAACGATTGACACCAACGAAGCACGACTGATAAAAAAAATATGTTCAGATTTAGATGAAGGTTGCTTCAAAATTACACTGGTGTGTAAACATATGGTTTGGTTCCTGGGAATTTACATGTTTGAAGATTGAATTTTACATGCCGATGATAAAGCCCTACATTCGGGTAAAATTCAACCAAGAACGATATATTTTTAAGTAAAAAAAGATGGCTTTTAGTGTGCGTGATTTTTTACTCAAAATTATGTGTACAAAAAGATTACGTTGCTATTTATTTACATGTTTGCATAATTTACGTTGCGTGTAATATTCATATTTTTTTACTGTGTACCTCCTCCATGTATCTGCTTGTTGCTCCTTCATATTTCTTATCATTGGTCATGCCAGAATCGCATATTAATCTCCCTGAAACTGCTGCCGGTTCCGATTGCGTTCATTAATACCGCGATTCAGATTGGCTCTGTTACCTCTGGTGTGGTTACTTTAACAATTCTGTTAGCAGCATCTTTCTCAATGATGCTGATGCCGTCGGTGATACGAACAGTTGCGAAAGAGCGTAGAGAGAACCGGTAATACGGGATCCACTGACTTCACCAGCCTCCACAGTTAATCGACTCCGAGTTCAATTCATAGAATGAGCTGTACGACTGACTGATTGGTGAACCATCAATCGTACCGGGTGGTTCTGCGGGAGAAACAGCTGCGATTGCAGATACATATGAATTATCTGAATTATCGCTGCAATGCTCCGTACCCATACAATTGACTCTCGGTCTGCAATAAGCTAATATGCGATGTGAAATAAGCTTGAAATGCGAAGAAGAATAAAAAGAAGAGACAAAAGATCGAATGTACAAAAGGTCGAATGGACAAAAAGTCATATTAAACTTAGAGGCTCAGCTCAATTCGACCTGTTGCCATTCGACCTTTCGTCCATGTATTTAAGTTTAATTCAAACTTTTGTCCATTCGTTCTTTTGTCCCTCTAAGTTCAATTCTACATTTTGCACATTAGACATTTAGTCCCTTCGACCGTTTGTCCTTTCAACCTTATCTTCTGCGATCTTTGGTCCTACAACCGCTTGCCACACAATATACAAAATCGTGCATTGGTTGGAAAGAAAAGCTCTCTGTGGAAGTATTTCAAACAACACTAAGTTGAGAGCAGGTAAAAGGATTGCGATACAAATGGTCGAAAGACAAAATGTCGAATGATAAAACTTCGCAAGGACACAATGTCGAATTGACAAAACGTCGAATGATGATAATGGGATCAAAAGGTTGAATGATGCGAAGGGGTACAAATGATCGAATGATGTGAAGGAGGACAAAAGATCGAATAAACAAGAGGTTGAATGGTTCAAAGAGGGACAAAAGGTCGAATGTCCCAAAGAGTGACAAAAGGTCAAATGACCCAAGGGGAACAAAAAGTCGAATATACTAAACGTCGAATGGTGACAAAAGGTCGAATAATCCATAGACTGACGAAAGGTCAAATGCCACAAAGAGGAAAAACAATAAAATAATACATTGGATCCGCCATGTACCAACCAAACCGTGGGTTCGTTAATCGACTAAGTACGTTAAAAAATTCATTATTTGTCAAATATCCCATAATATTGGTACTTTTGAAATCGGAATAATGGAAATCCATGTCTGACGCCATTTAGAAATCCAGGATTGCGGCATCCGGTTGGAGAACAACTGGGAAATCCTGTCAAATACCCCACAATATGGGTATTTTTGGAATCGAGGTGACGTATTAGAACCGAAAATCCATGTCTCAAGCAATTTTAAAATTCAAGATGGTGGCTTCCGGTTACAGAAAAGTGGGAAATACTGTCAAATACTCAACAATATGGGTATTTTTTTAATCTTGGTAACGTGTAGGAACCGCAAATCCATGTTTAATGCCATTGTGTAATCCAAGATGGCGGCATCCGGTTACAGAAAAGCAGGGAAATACTGTTAAATACCACTACATATGGGTATTTTTTTAATCGGGTGGCGTATAGGGTCTGAGAACCCATGTCTGATGCCTGTTTGAAATACAATATGGTGGCTTCCAGTTGCAGAAAAATTGAAACATATTGTCAAATACCCCACTATATGGGTATTTTTAGAATCAGAGTGAAGTGTAGTAACCGAAAATCCATGTTCGACGCCATTTTTTAATCCAAGATGGTGGCATCCAGTTACAAAAAAAAACTGGGATATTTATACTGTCATGCACTCCACAATATGGGTATTTTTTTAAATCGGAGTGACGAAACCCATGCCTGACGCCATTTTGAAATTCAAGATGATGGCTGATATTTGTGCTC